CTTAGCCTCCGTTTGAGAAGTGGATTAGTTTTTTGACTTTTTGGCTTTTTTAGCTATTTGAGCCTGAGCTCAAAAGTTTGGTTTGGGAAGGGCTTTTTGATTTTTTTGAATTTTTTTGTGAGAGAAGAGTATAATGATTATGGATTGGATGTGATGTTTTGTCTGTTGTGATGCAAATAGTCTATTCTGTCTTTTGTGGTCCAAAGAGTCAAAAGAACCCAAATGAGCTCTTCCCAAATGACACCTTAATCTCATGACTACTTTTCAAAACAAATATGATTTTTTGAATCCCACCTAACTAGTAGTACAATCTCATCCTTTAACTCTAAAAACAAATGAAAAACATCCCATGAAATGTATCATAAAATTTTTTTATCCTTTGATTAATGTGTGGTGTTTTATTGTATGTGTAATTTAAAGGTGAAAAATCTTTCATGATCATTTTCATGATATTGTTTTCATGATCCGTAACATTACTCACAAAGAAACAAGGCCTGAGTCTTATGACAAAATAAATACATAATTTTTAATTTTATTAATTTAAATACTAATATTTTGAATTATTTTCAATTTAAATAATTTACCTATTTTTGTCAAGTAAAATTGACTAAGAAATTGATATTTTAGTTATTATACTCAATGTGGATGTACAAAAACTGTCTAAAATACTATTTTTCTTTGAGTTTAATGACTAAAATATCAAATTTTTTTCTTCTAATTTACTTAACAAAAATGGGGCAGTTACAATAAAATGATATAAACTCAAAATAATTGCAAAGAGATGGAAATACAAGATTTAAGAACCATGATTGGTAGCTCGAATTTCATCTTGCCTCGAATGGCTTGAATTTTGGCTTGCCAATCGACCGGCTGGTCATCCAGCAAGAAGGTTAACAGTCACGGTCGACACGGTGACAACCACGGCAGACAAATATTTCATTGATTGTCTGGGTGGTCGTCCAATAAGCACAAATTTAGGCTATTCAGGCAAGCTCAATTTGAGCTACCAAGAGTTATTCAGAATTGCACAATCTAATGCATGAATTGGTTGTACTTTCATGACATTGTAATTATATTGAGTTGATATCATTTTTTCTTGTTTTTTGCAATTCTCCTAACAAAAATAAAAAATAATTTAAATTAAAAATAAATCAAAAGATCAATTAAAAAATTTAAAATTTAAAATTTATTTTATCGTAAGACTCCAACACTAAATTCTTTTTGTAACTTTTCCTAAAATAAATTATGTAAATTTGTATAGTAAAATTGATAGAATCTACAAATAAAAAACAGTATCCATGAAATTATGGAGGGATGGTCCTAACAAATGAGAGAAGAATAGTAGGTGGAGAGATCACTGCAATAATTCCAGAAGATTGTGTTGGACGGGAAATGAGGGATCCTTCGAACCTTTCGCCTCCAAAACTAGGATATCCCTAGTTTTTTTTTTGGTATTTTTTTTTGTTACCCAATGAATCTATTTTATTATTATTATTAACTAAGAAAAAACCACCATTTTTACTCTCCATTAAATAGGATCTAAGAAAGATAAATTAAATGCAAACTTATTTTCTAACATGATTTGAATAATTTGTCGAAAATGAATGTACCCGAATTCAGACTCCTTGGAAAAACTGCACTCAAAACTAGCACAATGGCGAAAAAAATTGTAGGAACTTATCGAGAAATTTTGTAATATATTAGACCTATAGTTTAGGTGTTATGTCCTAATTGTAAAGGGTTTAGTAATTTTTTTCTCATGTGTTAGATAAAATAATTATCTGTTCCCTCTTATTAGAAAATCAAAAGTAGTTGGTTAATGCATCTGTTAGAGTCAAGTGTTAGTTGCAAACAAAATTATATTTCTTATACTTAATTAAAGTTGTTAGTGACCATGTTAGTGTAAGATGTTAATTTAGATGCTAATGGTAAAGAGTTTTTAACAAAGTAGAGAAAGTGAAAGAAGAGAGAAAAACCAGCAAATGGATGGAGCTGTGTCACATTTTCCCCCCCTCGTATAACTGAGTAGACTAATTAATCTGCATCTCGACTAATTTCAAAATTTTAAAATTAACAATCAAATAAACTTCTAGTGATCTTTTGAGATGAGTCGAACTCAAAATCTTAAATCTTTTTTTCTTTTTTGATAATTCAGCATCTGGCCCACATGACTTATTTAAAGCCAAAATAAAGCCTTACATAGATCAAAATATTAAATCTTATTCTTAAATTTTTATGGCTTGATCAATCACTTGAATTGCTATGTCACCTATAGAAAACAAGAGGAAATTGCTATTTGTTTGAGAACATGCTAATTTAGTAATTTTTTGGCTAATTGGTTAAAATATGAGTTAAAAAAAACTAATATGTTTAGGATGACTTTTTGACTTTTTACGAAAAGATGTGCAAAAGGAAAGAGAATCTTTGACTTTTTGGTATAAGTTGTTGGCTTTTTGACTAATTTAGTAATTTTTTTGACTTTTTGACTAAAAGGGAGGGTTTCCAAACGAGGCTTTACTATTATTATTATTATTCTTGTAAAATACATTAAAGTGGGAGTATTTTTTCTTAACATATACCTTAATATTTTGAATAATGTTATATGCACTAATTATTATATCAACTAGTATACCAATTGATGATGTGGCATAATTTAAGATGTTTTTGATATTTGTAATATAATTAATGAATGGAATCAACAATAATATCATAATTAGGGTTGGTAAACTAATTAATACACTAATTGATACATGTAACACTACCGTAATATTTTTAGTGCAACACTTTATGACATAATAAATATTAATACACATAATTTTAATACTTATATCAAAATGTCCTTATTTAACTATAAAATCAATCACTTAATAGATTGAACCTAATCCACAGTTTCTCCGACTCGGACTCTTGCCCAATTAATTATAAAGAGGGCGCCTAAGTTCCTATGAGGTGAAGTTTTACGTTTGACTTTGTAAAAAGACATTAATTTATATTGTAATTTAATTACTAATATATAACGCTATTTTTATTATTTGAAGAAATAAATCCACAATTTCTCCTATTTTAGGGCACCCCTACATGATATGCCAACCGCCAAAGCCTCATAAGCCTTAGCCGTACATGAACCAGTCCGCAAGAAGATCACACAAATTGTGCCACGCACGCTTATCTATGTAACCATCCATTTCAAACCCACGAACCTTAGCCCTATCAATATGTCCAATTTCTCCTATTTTAGGGCGAGCAAGGATCTTCTAGAGTGATTTTTCCCTAAAGTTTCCTAAAGTGCTACAGTGTATGGTTGAGATTTATTGGCAAGTCACATCAATTTTTCTGATGTGACTTGCCAATAAATTTCAACCATACAATATAGCACTCTAAAAAACTTTAAGAAAATTTCACTCTAGAGGATCCTTGGTGTTTTAGGGCACCCCTACATGATATGCCAACCGCCAAAGCCTCATAAGCCTTAGCCGTACATGAACCAGTCCGCAAGAAGATCACACAAATTGTGCCACGCACGCTTATCTATGTAACCATCTCAAACCCACGAACCTTAGTCCTATCAATATGTCAACAGTTGCTATCAACACTGTTACTAACACCTATCATGAATCACTCTCCTCTATACACACACACATATATATATTTATATACTAACTGTTTATGTAATTCAAAAAATATATATATTATAAGAATAATATAGGGACATAATTAAAATTTCATTATCGAAGGAAAAAAAAGGTAAATAAATTTTTTTATCATATATATAAACATACATGTTATGTATAATATAATATATAAACTATATATACAGAAAAAAAAAATTCAAATATTATAAAAATAATCTCTAATAAGTTTGGTAGAAAATAAAAAAAGAACATGAGATATTTTACTTGTAAAATAAGATATATATTTTAAAAGTGTTCATAGTAAATAATTTTTTTTCCAAAAATAAGGGAGCCATGGCTTCGCATATTTTTTCCTAGTTTCATCCTTTGTTTAAGTGGTAAGCATATTTTTTTTATATCAAATTCATGATCTTGGTTTTGAGTATCATCCTTCTCTTGATATAATTTTTATATAAACACCAATTATAGGGCTATTTTGAAAAAAAATTAAAAATATAAGACGTTAACACTATCAAAAACTTTCACATATATAATAGTATAGGTAAAAAATATATCTATTTATGCTACATATAAAGAAAATGATGAATTTGCTGCCTTTAAATACACATTATGTATGTCTTCCTTCTAGCATATATATACACACGAGGACACCCAGGGGTGAATTGTTAAATTTATAAAATATAAATTTTGATTTGAATATGAATTTTATGAGTTTCAGTAGACAAGTCCATTACAAGAGTCAATTATATAAAGGTATTGTGGATAGTTTAGCGATAGTACAAAAATTTATTTGACCTAGAGTCTTAAAGATACAAGAGTCAATTATATAAAGGTATTGTGGATAGTTTAGAGATAGTACAAAAATTTATTTGACAAAGAGTCTTAAAGATACTAACGCTATGTTTATTTGGGTAGAAATTTTTTTTTAATAAAAATTATTTTTTATAGAGTTTTTTTTTAAAAAAAATATTTTTGAAATAAAATATTTTTTTTATGTTTGGTGGTGATCGCAGTGGAATGAAGGTGGAGGTGGTAGCGTGTTGGTAGAGTGGTGGCAGCAATGATGATGACAGTGATAATGATGTGGCGGTTGAGATTGGAGTGATAGTAATAATGTGATGATATTGATCATCATGGTGTGAGGTAAATAAATTTAATTTATCTTATTTTTTTTAATTTAATACGATTATACTAATAATTTCATAACTGAAGGGAAAAAAAAAAAAATTATAGTGGTGTGCATGTGTACGCAAAAGTGGTAATAGGAATAGGAATAGGAATAGGAATAGGTTGTATTTAATTTTTGTGATCTTTCTTTTCCGGATTTCTTGCTTTCTGCTAGTCTATTGACCTTTGAGGCCTCTCACTTACTTATCACAATTTACAACTTATTTCAACTTTTGCTATGCTAGCTCAGTACTATATATATATACATAAATATATCTATATACTGTATATGGTATATCTACCTTTTTGCCTTCTCTCCCTTTTAACTATGCTGTTCCTTTTGCTCTTTCTTGGGTGTGTTCCAAAATTTTCTTTTGGTGGAAAAAGTTTCCAGGAAAATGCGTGCAAGGAAAAGAAAGTTGCAATCCAGGTTTGTCTAAACCCTACTTTGGAACATTTTCCATTCTCTCTCTCTCTCGCCGTTTGGGGTTGTTTTTATATCTTGAAACTTTTATGTTTTGTGTATTGTTTTTTGTTTTTTCTGAATAAAATCTTCAGAACCCACCAAAATAAATAAATTGATCTCATTTGTACTATTGTTAATCCTCTCTCTGCATTTACTTATACGTCTTGGAACTTTATGTTTGTTTAATTATATCTAAACAAACTTCTAAAACCACTCATCCCAACAAATAAAATTCTCATTTACCAACATCATTTCATAGAAAATAAATGTTGCATTCATACATATGTATATATAAATATGGTTAAGGATCTAAATATTTTTTTTTTAAGTGCATAAAATCTGATCACAAATCTGAACATAATTTGTTCATATGACCGAGGTGGGTCTTACTAAGGCCTTGTTTGGGATGATAGATTGTTAGTAAAAAATTCTTTATTTTATTATACATCTTTTCGTTAAGATTCAACTAAAGTGACTAATTTCTAAACGAGACTTAAGACCTTACATCTGATTGGATGTTATACATCTAGAAGAGCATTCAAAAATTTGTAGGTGCATAAAATCTAATGGTAATTTTATAAAATTATCTTCAATTTATGGAAAAATCAATGATTTTAATTATTAATATTTATAAAATTTATCATTTATTTGTAATTATTTTTTGAGACTTGCACTGATCTGAAACTCTTCTTAGAATCTAACTACACAATTCAGCCTAATGTGGGTTGACATTTTGGTTTTTTTTTATTATTTTAGTCGGGTTAAAAAATTTTGTTTGAGATAAGACTTTTTAGTTTTTTTTTTTAGTTTTTATTTTTGTGAGAGAAAAAATGAAATGATTATGTTTTGGATATAACATTTTGTCTTATTAATTTTATAGCATATTTTATTTTATTTTATTTTTGGAGGCTATTTTACCCCCAAAAAGTTCATACCAAACATAGCCTCATTCACATAAGATAAATCTTACGAAATTTTTGAGTCTATTGTATTTGATTATGTACACGTATAGAAGAACTATTAAGGATCCTCCTCTATTATCAAGTATTTGTGTTCTCAAATAATTGTAGAATATTTTGAAATAACAATACTAAACGTTCAGAAAATTTATCCAGAAAACCAATCTTATAGTTATGGTTGAGATTAATTGCAAATCTGGATCTTGCAACACGCACCACCACATATCAATTTTTTAGATAAGATATGGGCAAATTTTTTTGGAAAATAATTTTACTGGTTTTGAAGACATATCTAAAAATTTCCATTTTAAGGGCAAAGTAGTTAATTTGATAAAATATAAACTTTTTTGATAAAAATAATAACAACGATAAAGAGTTCTAATTTTGGAGCTCTAATGATGTGATAAGAGAAAAAAGAGAAAAAAAACAAAAACATAGGCACATATATTACATTGCACGTGGGCCTTACTCTTTATCACATCATTAAATCTCTCTTTGGAGCTCTAAAATTAGAGTTATCAATCTTTATTCTTTTCTCTAATAGACAAATTAGTATTGATGGATTCATGATTAAGATAGATATCAATTTAAAAATCCCGGGTTTTATGTGAAAAAATAAAAATAAAAAGGGCAAATTACATATACCTCCCTCGAGGTTTAGCTAAATTACAGATACCCCTGAGGTATATGTAATTTGCCATTTTTACCAGCGTTAAACTAAGGTCTTTTGTAATTCTTTTTGACATTTGGTTTTAACCTCTCTTTTTTTTTTGGTATTTAGTTAATTTTTTAAAAATATTTTGCCAATCTTTTTAATTTTTTTTAGGGTTTTCTATATTTAAAGGCACTAAAATTTCTTTTAAATGAAATAAATTCAATAAAAATTATTAAAAATGTCAAAAACAAAAATTTTAAAAAATCAATGAAAAGTACTTTTTGTTTTTCAAACCCTGTGAAGCATACGATACAAAGGATTGATATTCTCTTACAGACGGTGATAAAAGATACAAACCAAAGAAAAATAAATTAAAACTAAAGCCATGTGTAATTGTGATATAATATTATTTAGAAAAAATTAATGAAATATCTCTCTTCAACTTTGACTAGTAGGAGAGGTCTAATATGTTTTTTTTTTATTAGTTAAGATCTTTCGATAAAATTTCTTTGTAATCATATTTTGTGAAAATTGAAATTTCTCTCTGTTGAGGCAAAAAAAAATTTTGTCGAATTTTTTTTATAAAAATGTTGAAGGATCTCTATTATTATAAAAATATTATATGTCATTTACTTTATAGACCTTTAAAAGAATTCTCTTATTATTTAAACAGAGTGATTTTTGACTAATATATTCAAATATTTCCTTCTGCCCAATTTTTACTATTACACTAAATAATACTTGCATAAAAAAAATATGAAAAATGCCTTAGACCCCCAGCTGGGGGTGCTGGGGTCTTCTCCTATTGGCCCAAAAAACTTTTTTTTTTTTTTTTTTTTGATTTTCGGCCATTACCAGCCCCCCACGTGGAGGTGGGAGGTGCTGGGGATCTCTCCTGCTGGAGACCCCCAGCAGGACCGAAAAAATATAAAGAAAATTAAATATAAATAGAAACTTGAAACAAAAAGGAGAATCAATTTTAATTGCAATACATATGAATGTAGAAAAACAAAAAAAGAAAAGAAAGTAATAACATGATTGTTTTAACAATTTGCCTCTCAAGCTCTCCCTCCTCATTCTTCCCTCTTTCTCTTCCTTCAACTACCCTCTTCAGCTACTGGCCAACCTCTCATCTTTTTGTAATTAATTGTCTCAATTCAAAGGTTATTTATTTGTAATTTTTAAAAAAATAATGGTATACGTACTAATTAGTGTACTAACTAGTGTACCAATTGATAGTGTGACATAATTTAAGATATTTTTTATATTTATAATTTGTATAATAAGGGGTTGTTTGGGGTGTCCTAAATAAGTGCACTTTTTGTCTTTTTAGACTAAAAAATTGAGGAAGAAAATATAGATGTTTGAGTTAACTTTTTGACTTTGTATAGAAAAATGTGTAATAAAAAATTGGAAAAATTAATTTTTAAGGAAAAATTAGAAAAATTAGGATTGGAAATTGTGCAGCCATAATTGTTGACTTTTGGTAAATAGTGTTAACTTTTTAACTTTTTGAGTAACATTTTGACTTTTTGACTTTTTTACCATATGCCAAACTTGACCTAAGTGAAGGTCAATAATAATATCATAATTAGTGTTGGTACATTAATTAAAATTGATATATGTAATACCATTATTTTCTAAAATATATATAGTATTAATGTTTCTATTTCTATTTAAGCTTTTAAGTCTTCTATAAAAATTAAATAGTAAAGTGTAATCGTCAATATTCAACAAAATAAATAAATAAATAAAATTAGATTATCGAAGTAATTTCGAATTTCACATATGAACATGATCAAACAAGTGATGTGACAATAATGAAACAAGTGACGTGACATTAACATTATCGTTAAGTTAAAACGGAAAAATAATAATAGAGTTATAATTTTAAAATTTTAAAAAGAGTTGTGAATATGTGATAAGAGAAAAAAAAAATCAAAAATATAAACACGCAGCACATCATATTATATATGAATTTAACTCCTTGTCATATCATTAGAATTATTTTTAAAGCTCTTAACATTAAAATTCTCAATCTCTATTCATATGCTATAGTATGGGTTGTTTTAAAAAGTAAGTTAAAAATTAATTTTTGATTTTTTTTTTTACTTTTATTGAATAAACGTATAAAAAAATAAAATAGGTTAAAAATTAAAAAATAATTTTTAAGGGCATCTCCAACTGGTCATTTTTTTTTTTTTGGAACCAAATTTGAATAGAAGCTTCCTTGATATCAAGTGATCCAACTGAGTCTCGTCAAACCACCGGTTGATCGGCCAGTATAAATTTTTGTCTTGAAGCGATCATTCGAGGGGGACATTCAATGGTAAAAATTCAACGACAATGAATAATAATTTCATGAAAGGCATCAACATCCTTGGTTTGATAAAAGATTTGAAAAATCTTAAATTTGATGAATTGTTGGAATAGTAAAAAGTAGGATGAGGGGTCACTGCGGTGGTGCCCCTGCTGTGCTGTTTAAAACGGCACTGTTTTTTTTTTTTTTGGTCTTTTTGAGGATTACATTAACTTCTTATTTCGTGAGTAGTTTCATGCTACATATTTTTATAAATGTACCCCTACCCTGAACTGTTGGAAAATTAAATTGTTGTTTCAAGACTAAACTGTTTTGATAAATTATTATATTATCAATTGAATCAAATTATTTCTGAAACATGTGTGAACTTGGCATACTGTAAACTATTTGTTTT